GGTCAGACAAGCGCGGGTCAGATCCGTCTGACCCGCGTAAGCGTGGGTCAGACCCTGCTGACCCGCGCCGCCCGCGAGTCAGCAGTGTCTGTCGCGCTGTTTCGACCCCCGGACGTGTTTTCGACGGTTTTAAAGCAGTTTTCGCAGGATTTATCTATTCCAGGGGTTCTCAACTGACTTGATATCATCAACAAACATAGTTAGGCTGTTATTAACTAAAGATAAGGCCAAATCACTCATTCTCATCCAAATAACCGCACCCGAGGCTTATAATATGAGCCCAAGACCTTCATTTTACAGATCTGGAATTTTATCAAGGTGATGAGGTGCTGCTGGATTGAAGAGTCAAGGAGTACGAAATTTCAGCAAAGGCTAATGAGATCCCGACGAACTTCAGCACAAAGGAGAAGTCATTCGAATAATCCGAAGCCCCGTACGTCCGTTCCTTGAGATTCGGCTTTATCTTAATCTTGAGAAGAGCTACTGATTTCGCTTGGTCGATTTCAGCACTTCAAACAAATACCTCTTTGGTGAGGTAGGAGCTCCATTAATTTTTCGACAACCAGATCCGATCCCCGATCGTCCACGGATAAACCCCAGCACCGGCAAAGAACCCACGCAAGCAAGTGTCGATAAACGGATCTTGTGTCAAGAAAGTTGCGTTATTTGAATTCATTTGTAAACAATTAAAGTTTTAATAAAATTAATGATGAATGCGACTTTCAGCGAAAACAAATATCACTTCGTTCAGAATGTTCTTGAAGATGGAGATGTGGAGCTTATGAAGATTCACAAAAAAGATAATCCAACAGATATGCTCACAAAGGTGATTCCGAGCAATAAGTCGATCATTGTAGAAACTTATTACAAATTCGTGATTGTTGAGGCCTTTTGAGACCATTTGGATGAACTACGGACGACTTGATCCCTTGGGAGAGGGGGTACGTAGGCAACCACATTGGTGCAGTCGGTTTTGGCGAGACGACACATTGGTGCTCATGTTGGTGTTAGCTCAGTTTCGGGAACACTTCGTCGAGGTGGAGAATTGTAGAAAACAGCGTTGAATTGTTCAAAGTGTTAGAAGACAATAAAATTCAGCAGGCTACAGGTGTGGTGCGTGCCACACCCAGGTGTGGCAGAATCTGTCATGTTGTCTGGGGTGTAGTGCGTGCCACACCCGGGTATGGCAGACGCGTTTTCAGATTCCCACCCTGTTTTATATTATGTTTTGTTATAAATAGAAATACGTTTTTAGGGTTTCTTAACCAGAGAATTAGCATTGTTCTGAGCACTTTGAGAGGGAGATATTGTGATGGAGTTGAGATCTTTGATTAGGGTTATATTTGAGAGTTTGTGCGAGTTGTAACCCGTTGTAATTCTCCTCCATATAGTGAAATCTTCTCATCCTCTCCCCGTGGACGTAGTCAATTGTCGAACCACGTATATCTCTGTGTTTGTGTGATTTTGGCCGTTGATTTGTGGCTTGCTCTCGTGTTTGGTTCTTCTCTCATCGCTTGCCGACTCGTTTGGTTTGCGAGCATGCATCTGCCCGGCACGCAACAGCTTTCACTTTATGGATAAAAATGTCAAATAATTTACTCAGGGGTGACAAGGGGTCTATCTGCAATTAACCAAAAAAAAAGAGTAATGTATGGAAGCGAGAACGTACGTGTAATTTTGTCATATATATAAACCCCTTTATTTCTAACCTAAATTAACAGCCTCTAGATTTATCCGCATTGATTACTTACTAGTTACACTAAAAGCTCTCTCTTATATATAGTTCCCAACTTCATTTCTTTACTCAGTCAGCTTTCTCCTTCTCTCTGAATGTGGGTGTAAAGTTCTCTCAACTTTTTTCTGACTTTAATTTTTGTATTCATTTTGCAAATATTTTTGTATGTAGGAATTTGAGAAGAAAGATGGGAGCTAGAGTACTCTGTTTGATTCTTGGAGTAATTGGACTGTTTCAGTTAATGAATGCAAACCCCAGAAGGATTCTATTGGATACAGATGTGGACACTGATGATTTCTTTGCTCTCTTCTACATTTTGAAGCAAAACAGATCAGAGTTTGATCTCAAGGTTCGGTTCTTGATTGCTTTTTTAACTCAGTTATGTGATGTAAGTCACAGAGTTGGTATGTTTTATACTTCTATGATATGATATTACTATTTTCTTGGATTTAAATCTTCTGCACTACAAGAAAAGTACTGAAAAGACTACTGTAGTATCATAACGTTGATTTTTTTTTTTCTCATTGTTGATAACGGAGCACTCGGAAAACATAGTGTAAAGTGCTCCTAAGTTTTATCCCTTTTTTCTAAGAACACGGCTACTTTCAATTTTTGACAAAGAACCCTTTGGTGCCATTTGGCAACGGGTTAAGTGAGCGGTTAAGGAGACTTAGCCCCTTCTTAACTGGTTAATTACAAAAAATCTATACAATGGTTAAAGTGAGTTAACCCTCTATAATTTGCTAAAAGAAAAAAAATGCATAAAAGAGTTGAGCTAACCCTTATAGAGGTATCAAAACGAGTTAACCGCTCAAAATAATGAGTTTACTCATATTTAAAATGATTAAAAGTTAACCCCCCTCTTTATAAAAAACATAGTCAAACTCCTCGTTATTTTCAAACACTGAAACTGATCACAATTGCTAAAATAAAACTAAAAAATAGGTTAATAATTTAGTCCTTTAGTTATCGAATGGACAAGCTACGTTAATCCTTCTCCTTAATCCCTCTTTCTTTAGACCTTTGCCAAATAGAACCTTTAAGTTTTGCTCCTTTCTTCTAAGAGGCCCTTAACTTTCTTTTTTTTGACATTGGAATTCCTATGTTTTATTCTCTTCTTCTAAAAAGCCCCCAAATTTTCTTAATAACTTAGGGATTTTGTTGTCAAAAGCAGAAAAGTGGGCACTGATTAGAAAGGAGGCGTAAAACTTAGAGGCCTATAGTTGTTTAAAAAGAATTGAGAACTTCTTAGAGGAGAGGGGTAAAACTTAGGGGTTTCTTGTCAAAATTAGAAAGATGTGGGCTTATTTGAAAATAAGAGTAAAACTTAGGAGCTTCTTAGACAATGTTCTCGATCTCACAATGAAAGGTGTGCAAACTGAACATATGTATTAGCTATAGTACTAATCATACTTGTATATGCTACTGGTCATGGATACTAGATATAAAACCAATATAGGTCCACAAAAATATATATAGTGGAAAATCATATATAAATATGAAGCGAACATGAAGGAAATATAAATAAATTTGAAAAATATAAAGCCTATGTTATATAATAGTATCTGAACAAAACAAAATTTCTAAAGTCTTAGTTTCTCAATACGCTCTCTATATCTAAAAGATCAAAATTCTCACACTAGCCAAATTTCAACTTAGATCCATTAATTTTCGTTCAAACCATTTCAATATTCTGATTTTGATGCATACGTTCAGATATTCATATTTAGTTATGTCTTTATTCTCATCCGTGTCCTACAATTTTTTTTAAAAAAATATTGTATATATTAAGCCATGGCAGTACAAATATTTTTATCTTATCATAAACGAACACGGATACATCCAGTTTTGATTAAAATCTTTTATGTATTTTCTTTTATTTATAAAGATTTTTTTTAAAAATTCCCTCTTTTTTAATTCGATATTTGCTGCTGCTTCAAAAGGAGGGGGAAAAAGAATTACATGATTACGTGCTCCACTACAAGAAAGAAATTATGAGAATTGCTTCTCTTAAAGATATCTACATAACCATCTTCGTCGTATATGTGTTGAGACCTAGTTTATGTATAAACTGTTGGGGATTCGAAACAATCAATCGAACCCTCGCCCTTCCGGACCTTGTGTTGAAAGTAGGAAAGTAGGAAATTCACCATAAATTAGATCAAAACTTATAAAAGAGTAAAGGAGACGAACACACAGATTTAACGAGGTTCGACAACGTGCTTACGTCCTCGGGAGCCACACCACACAATTCTTTTATTAGTTGAAGAAGAAATACAAGCTCTCAAACTAGGTTTTTATCTCTCTGAGATTCTCTCTTTTTCTACAGTCAAAAAAACTCTCTTTTTCGTGTTCTTACAAACCCTAAAAATCGTTTAAGGTATATATATAGAGTCCTGGTAGAAACAGAATCCAAAACAATTTAGGAAACTGGTTGACTGAGTCGTGGTCGACAGTGACGGTCGACCGCACAGGTCTCGCGGTCGATCGAACCAAAACCCGAGACCAAAACCAATTACAGAGATTTGTGCGGTCGAACGTCGCGATCGACCGCCTTCGGATCAAACTCTTCCTGAGCTCCTGTGCCTGTTTACGGTCGACCGCAGAAGACTCGCGGTCGACCGTGGATCTTTCTGCCTGTTTTCTTCGTCGTTTTGATTCCAGCTCTTGTCTCGACTTTGGGTCTACACTTTAGACTAACAATCTCCCATTTGAAGACCAAAGTGCCTGCAGTGAGTTCACCTAAACTCTCCCCTTCTTCGCGTGTATCTTCCCCTCCTCGAAAAATCATTTCTTCAATCAACAATATCCCAGCGATCTCGCCAATCCTCGTAGTGTGGCTCCGCCTTTGTTTTCTGCTCGTGAAGGCCAACTGAAGTTGCGCACAACTCCAGTTTCTCAATGGTGACTGCCTTCGTCAACATGTCCGTCGGATTTTGACTCTCCAAAATCTTCATCAAATGTAACTTTCCGTCTTCAACCAGCGAGCGTATAAAATGGTATTTTACGTCGATATGCTTCGTTCTGGCATGATATACTAGATTCTTGGCAAGAGGTATAGCGTTCTGGCTATTATAATAAAGAACTCCTTTCCATTGCTTCAGATCCAACTCTTCCAAATACCCATTCAACTAGATCATCTCCTTGCTTGCCTCAGTCATCACGACATACTCAGCCTCGGTTGTAGACAAAATCACAATCTTCTGCAGACGTGAGACTCAGCTCACTACTGTCAATGCTAGCTAAGGTATAAACATACCCCGTGGTACTTCGCCTCGTATCATGATCACCGGCGAAGTCCACATCCACGTATTCCTGCAGCACCAACTCATTCCTCCTAAAACATAGTGGCTTGTTCGTTGTTCCCCTCAAGTACCGCAATATCCACTTTACGGTCTCCCAATGCTGCTTCCCTGAATTGCTTGCAAACCTGCTCACAACTCCCACTGCATGGGTGATGTCCGGCCTCGTGCAAACCATCGCGTACATGAGACTCCCAATGGCCAAAGAATATGGCACACTGCTCATATGTTCTCTATCTGTATCTGTCTTGGGTGATTACTCCTCAGATAACTTGAACTGACTTCCAAGGGGCGTGCTAACAACTTTAGCATCCTGCATATTGAACCTCTGAAGTACCTTCTTAATGTATTCTGCTTGGCTCAATCTCAACGTCCCTTCAGCTTCATCCCTATTGATTCATATCCCTAGAATCTGCTTTGCTGCACCTAGATCCTTCATTGTAAATTCCTTTGCTAGCTACTTTTTCAAACTGTTTATATCTTCTAAACACAGTCCTGCTACCAACATTTCATCAACATATAATAACAAGATAATGAAGCTGGACTTGAAGCTTTTGAAATAACAGCAATGATCCAAAATTACATCTTTTGTAGCTATTGTTTTGCATAAAGTTATCAAACTTCTTATACCACTGTCTTGGAGCCTGTTTTAAGCCATATAATCTCTTCTTGAGCTTGCACACCATCTCTTTCTTTCCTTCTTCAATGAAGCCAACAGGCTGTTTCATGTAGATTTCTTCATCTAAGTCACTATGAAGAAAGACAGTCTTCACATCTAACTGCTTAAGAAAGAGATCTTCTGCAGCTACCAAACTCAATATCATTCTGATGGTCGTGAGCTTCACAACAGGGGAAAAAATCTCTGTGTAGTCCACTCCTTCCCGCTGTTGAAACCCTTCACTACTAATCTGGCCTTGAATCTCTTGTTTCCATCACTCTCTTGCTTGACCCGATAGACCCATTTGTTATGTAAGGCATTCTTCTGTGCAGGGAGCTGGGCTAACTCCCATGTCTCATTAGTGAGTAGAGAATCCATCTCATCCTGCATCGTATGCTTCCACTGCTGAGATTCACTCACTTGCATTGCCTCTTTATAGCACTCTGGCAAACCCCTATCTGTCAACAATAAGTAGTCAAGAGATGAAAAATATTTGGGATTTGGTTTGGGTACCCTGGATGACCTCCTAAGCTCCATGCCCTGTGTAGTTTCTTCTGCACCTAGAGCCTTCTCCCCGTTCTGTGGTCAGAATAAACATCATCACCTTTATCTAGAAGTTCTTCTATATCCACGTACTCAGACCCATCTGTATCTGAAATGCTGCTCCTACTGCTTTGGCTATCATTGGCTGTTCTTGTACATCACCTCCTCATTGAATATCACGTCCCTGCTTCTGATGATCTTCCTGTTCTTCTAATCCCAAAGGCGATACCCGAACTCATCAATGTCGTATCCAATGAATGTGCACTTTTGTGACTTAGCTTCTAGCTTGTTTCTGACATGGTCACTGCTATGAACATAAGCCACACAACTAAATACCCGCAAGTGTGAGAGATTTATCTTCTTTCCACTCCAACCCTCTTCTGGAATTCCAAAATCTAATAGAACTGATGGCCCGTGATTAATAAGTTAAGCTGTTGTATGCACCGTATCCGCTTAAAATGTCTTAGGTAGACCTGCATGTAATCATATACTTCTGGCACGCTCTGTCAAGGTTCTGTTCATCCTCTCTGCAATACCGTTCTACTGCACATAACCTCTTGAACTCCTCCTGCTCGTATTCTTCACCATTGTCTGATCTCAGACACTTTACCTTCAGATTTGTCTCGTTCTTCACCATGACCTTCCACTTCTTAAAGACTCCAAACATCTCTGCCTTGTGCTTCATGAAGTAGACCCACACCTTCGTCGAGTGATCGTCGATGAAGGTGACATAATATCTCAAACCGCCAAAAGAAGACATGCTGGCTAGACCCCATACATCTGTATGAATCAACTCTAGCTTCTGAGCCTTAGGTGACCTTCCACCCTTCTGGAAACTAACCCTCT